GAAAAGGTTCTACGTAATGCTGGAGTCTGCAGTTCGTGAAAATAGCTAGCAGGATGACCTACAGTGGGCAATATCCCATGACTTAGAGGGGAGCATGTCTTATAAGCTGCGTTGTACAGTTCAGATAGCTCTGCCTCATATAGTCTGTCTCTTATTGTTTGCATTGCCTCCAATTCAGAAAGTAAGAGTAAGGATTCGAAAGGGATATTCAGTGTTCGTAATTTATTTTCAATAATAACCAACCAAAAGGAGGAGTTAGATTCAGTCAAAAGTTGAAGCAGTAACTTGTGGGATCAGATCTACAGTGTAATCAAAGCCAAAACTTGAAGGTCATTGCTCTGTGCTCCCCCCTCATTCCGAACAGTGATCCTGTCTATGTACCTATAGCTTCAAATAAAGTAAAACCTTTCTGCAAGTGTGTACTTCATTGATGCTGTGGGAAGTCTGACACTCATTAGGACTGGCTACATTAGGGGTGTGTGGCCTAACATGCAAAGAAGTTCCTGCTACAAAAAAAGCTCTGGGTTTTGACAACAAACAAGGTTCTTCCAGAAAAATAAAACCGCAGAGCTGCGTTAACGTTTTTGATCACCTGAAGGGTGGGAATTTAAACTTCTGCACTTTGAGGAAACATCCAAAAAGACCTATATATGCTGCTTTTTCTTGATGCATTCAGAATGTATAACAGAAATCAAGTCCTACTGGATCAGACCAGTGGTCCATCAAGTCCAGCACCCTCTCTCAATAGTAGCCAATCAGTTCATCTCGATGGCCAACAACAGGTCATTGAGGCCAAAACCTTCCCTTGATGTTGCCTCCCAGTGCTCGTACTCAGAGATTCACTGCCTCTGAAGGTGGAGGATCCCTTTAGTCAACATGGCTAGTAGCCATTGATAGGCTATCCTCCATGAATCTGTCTCATTCCCTTTCTAAGCTGCCTGACTCTGAGGCCATCTCTACATCAACTGGCAGCAAATTCCATGTTTTTAATTAAGTGGTGTGTAAAGAAGTATTTCCTTTTGTCTCTGTTGGATCTGCTGCCCATTAGTTTCCTAGAATACCCTTGAAGTCTAATATTTTGGGTGAGGGAAACAAAGTTATTCTGTCCTCACTCTCTACCCCATGCAGTATTTTCTCAACCTCTATCATGCCTGTATTTTTAATAATCTCATTTCTAAACTGAAAAGGTGTCTAGACTCTTCAACCTTTCCTCATTGGAAAAGTCTTCCAACCCCTTAATAATCTTGTACTTTTCCCAGCTCTGTGATGAGATATGGTGATCAGAACTGCTCATAGTATTTCAAATGTGGTCACAGAACCGATCTACATGGGGCATTATAATATTGGCTGTTTTATTTTCAGTCATTTTTCTAATGCTCCCCAGTATAGAGTTAGAATTTTTTACTGGTGCAGGACACTGGGTTGACAGTTCAACTGAGTTATCCACCAAGACTTCAAGATCTCTTTCCTTCTCAATTTCCACAAGTTCAGTCTTCATTTGCATATACTTGAAGCTGGGATTTTTTTGGTCACCAAACACTTCTGTTGAACATTCCTGTGCATTCCTCTATTTATTTCCAGAGATTATTAGACATTACAGGAATTCAGATTTAAAAGAAACAGAATTACTGGACAGCAGTAGGGCTTAGTCCTGTTTTAAGGACAGAGACTATTTGGTAAGAAATTGAGAAGCATCAACAGGAACCACGAAAGTCCCCAAAAAGTTCTTTAACCACAATAAGATTCATGCTCTCATCTCAATATATCCCTGAAGGTGCAAATGGCAGCATTGTTTTTTACATACTTTCAATGTTAGGACAGGTTTATGAAACTGTTTTCGTCATTGGTTGATGATACAATGTTAGGTACAACCTTATTAAAAACTCTTCTTTTATGATGAAACTGTCTAAGTAGGTTATCTTCTCCTTTCAGACATGGATTACTGCATCACTTGCCCTGAAGGTCATTATCCAAACCAGGGACAAGACCAGTGCCTTCCCAAGATTCCAAACTTGCTTTCGTTTTCTGAACCTCTGAGCATTGTTTTAGCTTTTTTAGCTCTTTTCTTCTCTCTGATAACAGCTCTGGTGCTGATGTCCTTCATAAAACACCAGGACACTCCCATTGTTAAAGCAAACAACCGGAGCCTCACCTACATTCTGCTCATCTCTCTTTTCCTTTGCTTCCTCTGCTCCTTACTCTTCATTGGACAGCCTAACAGGGTGACCTGCCTCCTCCGACAGATGACTTTTGGCATCATCTTCTCTGTTGCTGTTTCTTCTGTTCTGGCAAAAACAGTGACTGTGGTTGTGGCATTTATGGCCTCCAAGCCGGGAAACCTTTTTCAAAAATGGGTGGGGAAACGATTGGCACATTATATAGTTATTTCTTGCTCCTTTGTTCAAGTTGGCATTTGTGCTCTTTGGCTTGGTTCTTCACCTCCCTTCCCAGAAATGGACGTAAATTCACTGAGAAGAGAAATCATAGTGCAATGCAATGAAGGGTCAGTCACCATGTTTTACTGTACCTTGGGTTACATTGGATTTCTTGCCACTATCTGCTTCATTGTAGCTTTCCTAGCGAGAAACTTGCCTGACAGTTTCAATGAAGCCAAGTTCATCACCTTCAGCATGCTGCTCTTTTGCTGTGTTTGGCTGTCCTTTGTCCCAACCTACCTGAGCACGAAAGGAAAAGACATGGTTGCTGTGGAGATCGTCTCCATCTTAGCTTCCAGTGCTGGCTTACTGGGCTGTATCTTTTTGCACAAATGCTATGTCATTATCCTGTGGCCTGAATTGAACAGAAGAGAGCAGCTGATAAGGAAAAAGTACTAAATTCTTTAATCAGCCAGGCCCTTGTTCTCCAGTTGTATTTTTATCAAACTTAAGTACGGAATTTTTGTTTTGTGGAGAGAATGAAACCCATGAACCATTTCTAGAATAGAATAGTACAAAATAGTATAGAGTAGAGTAGAGTAGAGTAGAGTAGAGTAGAGTAGAGTAGAGTAGAGTAGAGTAGAGTAGAGTAGAATAGAAATTGTTGCTTCGGGTTTCATTCTATCCTAGAAGATTTTGGGAAAACTAACCTTGAAGATTACTTTTGCAAGCTTTTACAAGACTGAATGAGATTTTTTTGAATACTGACCAAATGCATAGAATTAATGCCTGATTTGCCAGTAAGAATAAACTTCCACGTGATATTTTGGTGAAATTCACACAGAAGAAGACAAGGGATTTTATACTGAACAAGCAGAGTTTCTCTTCAAATTCATGAGACTGATATCTAGGTTTTTCAAGACCTTCCTTCAAGTCTTTTGAAAAAAAGGAGATACTGTTTTTTTAAAGACAAACCCTACAAAAGAAAGAAAGAATTCCATTTTCATTAGAGGTGTATTTACTAAAGGGCAGAAGAATTATATTTACAATTGAACAAGCTGAACAACTAGCAGAAGAACTATCCAAGGACACTGAAATAAGCAGTGAAGAAGGAAAATTGGACCAAGCCACTGCACTTCTTTAAAGATGAATAATCTGAATGTATTATCAATCAACATCAATGGCCTTAACTCTCCTACTAAAAGATCCAGAACCTTCAACTTATTAGAGAAACAAAAAGCAGACACTATTTGTATACAGGAAACTCATATAAAGAAACAACATGAATATATTTTGAAAAACAAGAAATTGGACAAGATATATGCAACATCCACAAATGAAGGGGGGGGAGTACAGCGATTTACGTAACAAACCAATAAATCAATGTTACAAAGGAGTTGAAGGATCGAGAAGGAAGATACTTGATTTTGAAGGCCAAATTACCAGATGGTAAAGCTAACACACTTGTATCATTATATGCCCTCAATAATGCAAAATAAAACTTTTATGAGAATTTCTTCCAAAAGTTATTAGATTTGCAAGAAGGGAAAATTATGAGTTTTGGAGACATGACTGGAGTTTTGGATCCTAAAAAAAGACAAGACAAGGAACATAAAAGGGAGTAGACTTCTGAGAAATGTTTTCTGGTATATGGATATATTACACTTAATTGACACTTGGAAAGTGATGAATCCCAAATCAAGAAGTTACCCTTTTTATTCCAACAGACATGAAGCTTATTCGAGAACTGATATGTGCTGGATGTCTAAAGTGTTAATTACAAACCTAAAGAATGCTGAGATTTGACCAAAATATTTGCGAGTCACAACCCTCTCTGGATACCTTGGCAAGGGAGAAGATTGGGAAAAAGAAGGCGGAGATTCAATGATGATATCCTGCTTCAAAAAGAAATAATTGAGAAATGCAAAAAGTACTTAGCTGAATTTTTTAAACTGAACATAACATAAATTGTACCCTGACAAAGATTTGGAAGGCAAGTAAAGCTTTTATGAGAGAAAACCTTAATGTGATTGCCTAAAAGGAAAAGAAGGAAAAAATGGAGAAGATTACGACAATAACGGAAAGAATTAAAATATTGGAAGAGCAGCATATAAATACCTTAAAGAACACTGTTTTAAAAGAAACCAAACAATTGAAAAATCACGTAAATTTGATTGAAACAGAAGAAATCCAGGAAAAAAAAGATTTATCAAAGTACTTTGAACATGCAAACAAACATGGCATATTGTTAAACAATATTTGGCATATTGTTTAAGAAAAGAAAGCTAAATGAGGAAGGTCTATTTAAAAATATTTCCGTACCCAAAGTTATGATAGATGATATAGATATGTTAAATCAGAATACTACAAGAAATCTCACAAGCAATTAAGAAATTGAAAAAGGATAAAGCTCCAGGCCCAGATGGTTTGTCGGCATTATATTACAAATGCTTGGAAGAAAGGATCTTAAGTGGCAGTGGCAGGAAAGACCTTGCCCTGAGACGCAGTGGAAAGCCAATGCTACTGATGATAGAAAAGTAAGACCAAAGGTTTATCTAGCGTGTCATGAGGCAACTTCATATGGTTCTCTGTTGCACTTGGTTAGAGTGAAGGGATTAAGCAGGCACCTCCTGCACGGTTGGTCGCTGTGGAAGAAGTCTGGGGTTTCTGCTCAGACTCACCAGGAAGGCCAAAAAGCAGTGTGATGCCCCTTTCCATTCATGCACACTGCCTACCACCCTCTGCATCCTCTGTTATTCAGGTGAGGGGTTACAAGTAGGTCAGGACATCACACTTGCTACCCTTCTTGTCTCTTTTAAAATATACAGAGAGCCATAACCGTTTCACATCTTAGGTCTTCACTCTCTCTCACTCCCAGAGACATCCACAGACAGGGTAGCAGAGCCCCCTTCAATAACAAGCCCTCACTCACACAGAGTTATTGTTGGGTTTCTATTTATTGATTGTCTTTACTGTTCTTGCATACGGAGAACAAGAAAAACTGTGAAAAAGTGACACTTAATATATGTCTTTAAAGAATCATAGAAAAGTGAACAAAAATAATATACATAATCATAGAAAAATATATTGACGGTGATCTCTGGAATGTCTTGCCGTTTCGAAGGAAGATCTTCTTCTGAACAAAGACGTGGGACAAAAACTGTCTCTCAATAGTTCATATCCTCTGGTGATGTCTCAAAATTATCAAAGAAGATTTTCAATTATCATAACAGCTGTAATGTACAGTAGAACCTGCCACGGGCTAAGATGATTGTAATGCATTACAATCATCTTAGCCCATGGCAGGTTCTACTATTCTTGCAACCAGAGTCATAAACAGCAAACCCTCATCCCAAAGAGTTGGGACTGAAATATTCACACGCTGCCACCATTTATCTGTATCCTATCTGCACAGACTGAAATATTAAATGACGTGTGTTTCTTTCCCCTAGACATGCAGACCAGAGGGTCAAACCAAAACAAGAAGCTAACTTTTATTTCTGGTATGAATGTAGGGCTGCCAAGTGGGGGCGGGGAAACCCCCACTTTGGAGGCCTGATTTCCGCCGCGGCGGAATCGGGCCCCAGGGGGCACTCCGCCCCCCCGAAGCTGTGTCACCGGATGCATCACCAGAGGTGACGCAGCCACGTCGCTCACATTGGGGGCATGGCCCAGATTGTCGGGGGGAACCATATGGTTTCCCCCCTGATGATCTGGGCCACGCCCCAAATGTGCTCTACTTCGTGCGTCACTTCCTGTGATGCTCTGGCGGCATGTGTGCGCGTCCCTCGGTAGCTCCCGGACCGAGGCAATGCTCCCCCGCTGGTGAGTAAGAACGACTTGGCAACCCTATATGAATGTAACACTGAGGAAAGTAAAAGATTAGGAACAAGGCTTCCTCTGAACTTTGGAATTGAGGTCCTATTCCTGCAACTGGGATCCTTTAATTACAAATTGACTGTTTCCAGCCTGTTCTAAGGGGCTCTTCTGCACAGTTCCGCTCAGACAATCATCCCCCCTTTCCCCCCTCAAATCCCCAGCTGCAACCCCTCAACTGCTGACCTTAACTGCTCTTTTGCAACTGTCTCTTCCAACATTCCGTCAGCTCTCATTGGTTGCTTTGAGGGAGAGGCGGACTCTAACCTGTCCATCACAAGTGGGCTGTACCTTTGCACTTGGGGGGAAAAATACAGTACCATTAAAATAGTGACACCTCTATAGGACCATTGTTGTATATAGGGTCCTACCTACCACCTCTAGCTCCTGTTGCCTGCCAGCAATCTGATGGCTGGTGGGTGGGAAAATGATATTTAAAAGTGCCATCAGATGACAGTGAGATGACCCATCCAGGGGAAAACTGGCAGGCAGTCCTCTCTAGGAATCAGCAACATGCTATGGTTCTACAACAGAGTTCCCGGCAATTCCTAGGGAGTCGTGACGTCACTACTGGGTTTTCCCTGAAGGGACGTCACACCATTGAGGATCATAATTATTTTTCTTTCTCCCACTGGCCGTTGGACTACCAGCAGGCATATGGCAACTTGAACTAGGCCTGATATATGTGGAAAACCTCTAGCCCTGGATCTTTCACTCAAGGGCCTCAACTGACAGGTAGTGTTGTTACTCTACAAGTGTGCATTCTCCAAGAGTTACGGCTGGTCTCCAGACTGCAGACAGATATTAATTACCCAAATGGAAATGGCTGCTTTGGGAAGGGATTCTATAGCAGCACATTTCTGTTAAGCTCTCTTCCATCCTCAAACTCCACCCTCCTCAGGCTCCACCCCCAAATTTCCAGGAATTTTCCAACCCAGAGTTGGGAACTGTAGTGAGAGGGTATGATTGTGCTCAGATGGTGCAAGGGCCCTCATGTGGCTGTGTGGAGCTGTTCTTGATACCAGGCATGGAAGGTGTGTTCTCCCTCAGGAACATCGATGGCATCTGGTGGAGCATCTGGTGAAGCACAACAGACAGAAGATATTTCTCTGCTGAGAATACCCAGGCAGAACTCTCGTCTCCTAGAATTTACACCAGGGATCTATGTTTGCTCAACAACCTCCACATGGCTTGTTTGATCTCCTTGTTCCTCAGAGTGTAGATCATGGGGTTCATCAAGGGGAAGACCACAGTGTGGAGAACAGCCATGACCTTGTCAAAAGGGAAATCCATGAATGGACGGCAATAGATGTAGATGGCAGGTCCGAACATGATGACCACCATGATGATGTGGGTGATACAAGTGGAGGCAGCCTTGCTCTTCCCTTGGGTCGAGCCTGTCCTCACCTTGACCAGTAGGATCCCATAGGAGATGAGGAGGAGGATGAAACAGATCAGGATTGAAATGCCACTGTTCACAAACATGAAGAGCTCCAAGGCATACGTCTCCGTGCAAGCCAATTTGACAATCTGGGTAATGTCACAGAAGAAACTGTCCACCTTGTTGGGGCCACAGAAAGGGA